GGGGCGTGCACAAGACGCATTTTCCCTTCCCTTTGGAAAAATGAAAATTACAAGGTGATTTAACCATAACACCAATGGATTTTTTTTTTTTTTAATGAAAATACTGGACACAGATGGGAAATCTATACTGAGAATGTTTGAGCCCCACAGAGGGGATGGAGATGCACAACCCAAACAGTCCCTTCAGAAATCTAGCAGTTGTTGGAACAATGTCTGCTGTTTCTCGAAGCTGTTGTCAGAGAACGCTGCATTTCAGAGCATGTTTTTACAAAAGGAACATTCTCCATTCTCCAGCTGGAAGCGAGGAGCACAGGAAGCTTGGTGCGGGGTCCCGCCAGAAGCTGGCCCCGCCACCAGGCCCACAGCTCCTGCATTCCCAAAGCCCAAGACACGGCTGAGATTTGACACGACATCCTAATCTCAGCTCAAGGTCCAGCTCAAGTCAATGGCAGCTGTCTTTTAGAAGGCCGCTTTTGGTAACTTCCACCTTGGAGCTTACTCTAACGTGGCTCTGATGTCTGGCCGTGGGCTCGTGTGGGGTATACACACATCGGGGGGTGAGGGGCTCCCTTCCGTTTCTGCTAAGCATCTCCGTTACACCAGTGTTCACGTTTCGGGTCTTTGTGCTTGATTCAGCTCCAGAGACGCCGCTGGACTGCGAGGTGTCCCTGTGGTCGCCTTGGGGGCTGTGTGGAGGTCACTGTGGGACACTGGGATCCAAAAGCCGAACTCGCTACATCCGCGTGCAGCCCGCCAACGATGGGATCCCTTGCCCTGAGCTGGAAGAGAAGGCCGACTGCATCCCTGACAACTGTGTCTAAGATAAGCGCAGACCCTTGGGCCCTGAGGGCGAGGCGGGCAGGCCAGGGAGACAGCGGGCGAGTCTCTGGTGGTTCAAGTCTGGGGTCACAGAGGGGTCTACGCAAGCTTACAGCGGGCTGGATGGCCTTAGCCTGAGGTGGTTCTGTCACATTCCTGCACCCTGGTGGACCTTCGGGACTGAGGGTAGAGGCCCAGGTGGCACCCAAGATCTCAGCACAGAAGTGCCCGCAGTGCCCTCTAGTGGTAGGGAGGGGACTTCCCTGAACAGCTGCTCCTTTCTGCCCACATTTTCTCTTCTCATCTCATGTCCCAGTCTCCCTCAGCCCTAAGGCTCTGTCGTTCCACAAAGATACTTCATATCCCTGAGGTTCACTAATCTCTACTCTAAATTCTGTTTCATTATATAATTTATTACCGCTACGGAGACTGTCTTCAATGCCAAGAGCAGAGCGCCATGCCCCAGCGTCTGGAACGTGCACCTC